TCAGAGAAAGACAAATACCACATGATTTCACTCATATGTGGAATGGAAGAAACAAAAACAGAGAAAAAGAGACAAACAAGAAAACAGACTTAATTATAGAGAACAAACTGGTATTTACCAGAGGGGAGGTAGGTGGGGGGATGGGAGGAATAGGTGATAGGGATTACGGAGTGCACTTGTCATGATGAACATCGAGTGATGTATAGAATTGTTGAACACTACATTGCACACCTGAAACTAAGATAATACTGTACATTAAGCACACTGGAATTAAAAAAGTAAATGAATTTGTAAAAATTAAGAGAAGAATGCTTACTAAAAAGAATAAATATTTGGGGTGCCTGGGTGGCTCAATCGGTTAAGCATCCGACTTCAGCTCAGGTCATGATCTCACAGTTCGTGAGTTCGAGCCCTGCATTGGGCTCTGTGCTGGCAGCTCAGAGCCTGGAGCCTGCTTCGGATTCTGTGTGTCCCTCTATCTCTGCCCCTCCCCCACTCACACTCTGTCTCCCTCGGTCTCTCAAAAACGAGTAAGAAAAGAATAAGTATTAAAATAAAATAAACTGCTACCAAAATTAATAAAAACAAATTACACGAAGCATCACGTACTCACTTACCTTTTGTAGCAGTTCTTAGAATTGTTATGTCTGTGTATAGAGAAGAACAAGAAGGTAAAAATTCCTTCTTTAGCACCATGGCTTCAATCCGAAGTGAATAGCTGAAAAATAAAAAGTAAACCTGTAGAATCTTATGTCATTAATTTTAAAACCTTACTCTGAAAAGAAGAGTGATGGATTATCCTTACTTTGGCACCTGAATCAAGTAGTGCAGAAAGGAATCTGCCAGCGACAGCTTGGACACATCTCCACTAAATGTTTTTAATTTCTTTATCTAAAAGACAAATGGAAAAGAAGGCAGACAAAAAAATAACTTATGATTAAAAGGTAACATTGTTTTAAATTTCATCTTAAAATTCCTTTAAGAAAATGAGACTTCAGTGCTCAATTCAAATCAAAAATGTAGGCCCAAGAAAAGACAGAAAAGGAAATCACCACATCTACTATGTTGTTTTTTGAAAGAAGATAAACCAAACAAATCAGAAAGAGAAGAGTTGTGTCACGTTTGTGGGTATAAACAATCCCAATCAAACCACAGAACCGGAGCCACAGGAATCCTCAGGGAGGTTACTAAAGGGTCAGATCTAAGGATGAAAATTTTCTGTAAAGTTATAATCTGGAAGGGAGATCACTGGGAGAAGACAGAAAAGACTGGGTTACCATTATAACATGGTCCTCTAAGTTCTTAATGAAAAAAATCTTAATATTTTGGGTATTCTGGATATAAAATATTCTGACTGGGTAAGTGCTAACCGACCTTGCTGTGGCCCAAGTCCCCCTCCACAAGAATAACTTTATAGGAAGGGGATACTGTGTGCTGAGGCCACTACACGCTGGCCCTCCAGAAGGAAGGTAAAAAGGAAAATGGCTTAAGTAGCTGAGTTCAAGGTCAAGACATCCCCCTATGAAAAAAATCAAGTAATAAAACAATATATACAGTCAGATCCCATTTCTATAAATTTTTTAAAAAGCGTCCACTATGCCCCCCTACCTTCCATGTACACACCTTATACACAGGCAAAAGACTAAAAAGGGCCACTTACACGGGTGATAGGATTAAGGCGACTATTGTTTTCTTCTGCTGCTCATTTTTATTTTCTCACGTCTACAATGAACATGCATTACTCTTGTAAAACATTAAACTCAACTAAAAGTTATTCCTTCAACCATAGCAAAGAAAAACAAAAGAGTTCTGACATGGGAACATAGCCAAACAGCTAGCAGGTGGGGATGGAAGCAAAGAGAGAGTTCTCAAACTGCATCAGAGCAAGTCAATGCCTTCCTCCCATAGAAAACGGGATCCACCCAGTGGAAAAACTCTTTTACGTCCCCTGTAGTAGTAGTCTAGCATCTTCCAACAAAAATACTTTACGGTAAGTAGAACCTTGGGGCTACTTTTAAGTAGACGGCCTATCTCTGCAGCTAACTGTTGCCAATAAGCACTTACCATCTTTCAGGACTCTTTATAAAGCTTACTACTCTCTTCCATCCCCTGGGTTATAGGGGGGGGGGGTCCCATAAAAATAACATGATGTCTCTGTCTCTTGGAAAATAGGAAACGACAGTTCCAAAACACAGGGGAGGGAAAATCTGCAAAGATCCACAAGCTGAAGTAGCTACATCAACTACCTAAAAATTCAAAACGTAATAGTGCAGACTCACTGGTGGTTAAGACTGCGGTTTTTTTGGTTTTTGGTTTTTTTTCCCCAATGGGCAGAAAATAGCCATTTATCAAACTGCATTATTTCCCCTACCTTTAGGGCCCCAAAGTGAATTTACCATTTTTAGCCATACTCAGTTTAAGGGCAGATGGAATTTCTGGTTTAGCTAAACCCAAACCAGTGCCTGGATGAACTGAGAAAGCCACAGGATGAATCCTGATCCCTTGTGAACTAGAGTTTGGTGGTTCACTATATATGGGCAGGGGCAGATTGAGGTTGTACCTTTTGTAAGACCATCTACGCAGCATGTGCAAAGCTTCTGAAAACAGCACAATTTTCTGTCTAAAACATAGGAATAGGTCATGCTAAATCAACTTGGTAGATATTTCTATTAAACATGTGCTCAACTCTAACTGAACAATGATTAATCTCCTTCACTTGTATAAAGAGCTAAAAAAATGTTTATGGATTTCAAGAGAATGGTGATGGAAAGATAGTCCTGAATTTAAGTGCCATGTATACAGTTCTTAGTTCCATTTCAAAATGAGCCTTATGTTCATTAAGAGGGATTATCGTACCTTCGCAGTGGTAGGGAGGTAAAAGAGAGGTGAACAAACCCTATAATTATTGTGCATTCTCGTCATCATCAAACAGCATTTATCAAACATTGTTAGGCATAATTTTGTTGGCTGAGCCAAGTGACTCTCATTATGACCTGGCTGTGCCCGGTTTCCGTCCTAATAGCAAACAGCATGCTCCTTAAGACTCACACATTCCAAAGGGCAGACCTCCTTCATCCCATCTAATTCCACTCACATGGCCTTGAAATAGCAAGATTTCCCACCAACAAACTCACCCAACGGAAGACCTTGGGGCTTCCCCCCTGTCATTCCCCTCCCAGGGGCAGAGTCAGCAAAGAAGTTAGGGATGAAGTGATGAAAATGTCAAAGGACACAACCAACCTGATGCCAGAGAGAACAGAAAATCTCTACCACCTTCCCGCCCTTTATCCTTGACAGTGATGCAGGGATGGGGCACCAGCCCCGACACAGGGAAGGGCTTGCAGGCTGGGTCAGGGCTCCCTTCCACCGTCCTCCCTGCTCCTACACAAGCCTCTTCCCTGTCCCCTCTCTGGGCACAGGAATACTTTTCAGGACAAAGAACCCACTCCCACTGCTTTTATTTCTGGGTCTACCCTCTTCCTCTGCAAGTTTCAACTATGAGTTTAAGGCGAGATGAACAAACAACGTCAGATAAAAGATTTGTGGTGAAGGGCAGAGAGATCCTGAAAACAAATTAACCTTCTGCTGGCTTGTCAGCTGAGAATGCGGGACAGAAAAGGGCTGTTTCCGCTCGTATTTTCAACATGCTGATAAGATTACGGTATCATTCAAGTGACACTCACGCTGGTCCTCTGTGAAAGTAGGGGCGATGAAAAGGCTGGGAAGCCAGTGCGGTGCAAGGCGGGGTCTTGAGAACCTTTGCCCTTCCTTCCTCAAAGGGAGGCAGTGGAGCGCAGCAGAAGGAACTGTTGTGGGCTCAAATAACGCGCAAATCCACCTTCCTCAACGGCTCATCAACTATGTGCCACTAGATGGGCTCTGGCTAACTTGTGTGAGCCTCAGTTTCCCCTCTGTAAAATGAGGAGTATCTTACAATGTTGCCAGGAGAATTAAATGAAAGAGACACACTAAATAATCCCAGCTATGGTTTAGTGACTTTCTATGTGCGAGGCACTGGGCTACGTACGCACTTGAGCACATTATCTCGCTCGACTGGATTTTGCCCTGCCCAGTGCCTGGAACATGGGGACACTCAATAAATGTTTAGTCCCTTCTTGTGCAAAAAACGAGCACAGAACGTTACACCACAGACTTAGCAACATGCAGTTACGCAGACACTTGTGCATTTATTAACATATTTCTGCCACATTCCTAAACCTCTCTCACTTGGCACTGACTCCCTCTTGGCCTCATCCCCATCCTCCACCCTCCACCAAGACTCTGGGGTCAGCCCTGGTCCGGGTGGTGCCAGAGGCCATGCAGCACTCACAACAAGGCCTTGCAGGGGGCACTGGTCATGAGGTGGCTTCGGCTTTCCCCAAGACTTCCCTGGCCAGGCCAGTGCAGAGCCCCAGAGTGGGTTAGGGAGGGGCGCCAAGATGCCCCGGGGGACTGTCAGGGTGTTCCTGCTGAAGGAAGCTCCCAGTTGAGTGTGGAGGGTGTGGTGAACTGAAGCCAAGAGTCAGTAATGTAAACAAGAAAGAGTGTGAGCAAGCTTGTCGGATATTCAGACTGAGGATGACCCTGCAGAGGAGGGAGAAGCAGCTGCAGCCTGGCTCAGTGGCTGGGACGCCTGTCGGGATCCCAGGGCGGTGTTTCATCCCAGCAGGACACTGTCTCCGGGGTCAGCTAATTGTCTGGGGGTGAGTGAAAGCCTCAGGACTCAGGGCAGCGCCTGGGTGGGTTTTAGTCATCTTGCCCTTAACATCCCCCCCACCACACATTTGAATTATATCCCACACACAACTCAAAAAGCAGGGTTCTTTTAAACACGAGAGGTTTGACAGCTAAGCTGCTTCTCTGAAAAATCCCAGAGTCTTCCACAGCCTTTGCATTCTCTAATCACCTCTGAATTTAAAATTAGAAATGAAGACATTAAGAAAACTGTACTTAATCTGCCAACTCTTCATGGCACAAAGCTGGCAGTCTCCCCCATGCCTAACCTCCATTTAGTTAGAAACTCAGAGCTTTTTAGAGCATACTCACATGTACTATCAAATCTGATCCTCACTTAAATAAACGATGAGGTCAGTTAGGAGTGGGAACCAGAACAGCCCTAAGGAGGAGGCATGAAAAAAGCCCAAGCAGGAGTAAGATTTTGAGACCAATGCAATCCTTTTAAAATTCAAATTAATTAAATCCTATCCATCCTCATTAAAGGTTTTTGGGACTCTCATTCTTTACATTAAAAAAAAAGAAAAAGAAAAAGAAAAAGACTAAGGACTGTTTAGCATATAAGATCCAGGGTAAATTATGATTTAATGTACCTTCCCTTCAGGACTTTAAGACCCTCCACTAACATTAATAAATGCTGTTAATTAATCTTAGCTTAGGGGCGCCTGGGTGGCTCAGTCGGTTAAGTGTCCGACTTCGGCTCAGGTCATGATCTCACAGTTTGTGGGTTCGAGCCCCGCATGGGGCTCTGTGCTACCAGCTCAGAGCCTGGAGCCTGCTTCGGATTCTATGTCTCCCTCTCTCTCTGCCCCCTCCCCTGCTCATTCCCTCTCTTTCTCTCTCTCTCTCAAAAATAAATAATAAAGATTTAAAAAAATTTTTAAAAAAATTAATCTTAGCTTAGATAAATTACACTTAATTTGCAAACAGAAAACCTGACATAGAAAGAGAGGTTCAGGTTACCAAATACACCTAGAATATCCAGCTACCTCGTAAGACCCTCAAGTTGGCATTGTGAGTTTATCACTGATCGATATAAAAGAAAAAGCACAGATATATACTTCTCTTGTTATCAATGGCACTAAAGTCGAATTCCATAAATTATGTCTGGGAAGAAGAGAGGGATGCGGGAGGAGGAAGCAGTGGTATGTGTAGAAAGGATAACTTACACTTTTCACTTTAAGATTCTGTATTATTCAAATGTTTACAAGCACATGTATTCATGTAATTTCTTACTGAAGTTTTTCAGGGTCCCCTTCTTCAAAAATAATCGGCAAAATGACAATGTTATAAACTGTTTTTTTCTATCAAGCTCCTAACCATTCAACAGTTCAGTTAATTCAGTCTAAAAAAAAGATCAATAACTTTATATTGTAGTACTATATTGCTATCACAGCAATTTTCACCTTTTAGTCAATTAGACATTTATTAACAGTTTACCTACCTCTCCAAAATTTTAGAGCATATCCATCCCAAAGAGGTTTCGTTTTACTTTTTTGTTTAAAAAGTGTTATGTATTTATAAAATAACCTGGGTACAGCCTAGGCAAAAACCATCACTGGAAGATGGAAAAGGAAACCAAAGTTCATATTCAGGTCCCACGTGCCGAGTACCACATCCAGCGCATAGCTAGGCTTTCAGCATCCTGACAATCCAGCGAGGCAAGCACCATCTTCCTCTCTGCATAGGTGTGGAAACTGAGTTCACTGCAGTTAGGAAACTTGCAAGGGTACAGCTTCAGTTTAAACCTAGATTCCCTAACTCTACAACTTACACTCCCTCTCTTAGGTGACTTTTTACTTTTAGGTGAGAAAACTCTGGCTCCGAGTAGCAGAGTCCCCTTCCCATGTGAGTTTTGACACTCTGAAAAATGTTAAGGTTTTATCATCACTCCTAACATCTAAAATTCATGTGCCAAATTCCTTACCTCCTCTGACTCTGGCAAAAGCTTAAGAAATTCTCGCAGCGTCTCTGATCCATAATGTTCACTCTTTCCTTGATGAATATCTTCTACGATGGACTGAGGAGACCTTGAAAAGACAATTAATCAGATTCCATTTCACATTTGCTGAAGTGCCAAAGAAACACAAGCCAGTGGAAATTAAAACAAATCACCTCCACCCTGCTGCCATCCTGCCTTCTTCCCAGTCTGAGGGACATGCTGTGTCAGTGATCACAAGGGCCCCACTGCCAGGGAAAACAGGCATATTGACACGCTCTTCATCCAGAAGCCCATCCTTGGGCATCCCAGAAAGGCAGCAACCTCTCGGGGTCTTCTCTGGGTGAAGAAAAGCAATCCTCTTTGGTCACATGGAAACCTGGCGAGCCTTTCCTTTCCACTTTAGAACACTGGCATTTAACCACTGTTGACTCACCAGTCCAACTTCCACTCGAGGGGCAACACTACAGATGAATTTATAAATTCCCTGACATGACAGGCTTGAACAGACACCCCCAGGCAACTCTCCCTGTACTTCAAGCCACTAGGTTCTGTTTTCATGCAGGAAAACAGCAGAGAATGACAGACACTTGGGTAGTCATCACACCATGTATCTAACAAGGATATACAAGTATGAGGAATGACTTTTGCTTTTATTAGAAGCTGAATTTCAGCTCAGCCACACCCAGACTGATGCTGACAGTGTGGATGAGACTAAAGTTGCAAATATGTGCAAAAACCTTACTTCTTAAATTGCTTAAGAAATATCCCAATGTTCATGCTCCGTTTTGCATCCAAGATAGTAATCTGGAAAAAAATAGACACACGTAAGACTAGTAAAGAACAAATAAAAAGAGTTGGAGGAAAGGAGAGAATTAAAACCTATCAAAATACGACACTAATTTATAAGAGAATAACTTCCAATATGTAAATCTGGTGATTAATCGATATACCTAATGCAGTTTTGCAAACATTAAAATATTATCATCTCTCCAAATTTTCTGCAATGATATATTTCCTTGACTATAATAACTATACATACCTATTTTATTTTTAATTTTTTTAACGTTTATTTATTTTTGATAGAACACAAGATGGGGAGAAGAGAGAGAGGGAGACACAGAATCTGGAGCAGGCTCCAGGCTCTGAGCTGTCAGCACAGAGCCTGACATGGGGCTCCAACCCAAAGACCATGAGATCATGACCTGAGCTGAAGTCGGTGGCCCAACCAACTGAGCCACCCCAGGCGCCCCGTACATATCTATTTTAATCTTATATAACTTTTTTTAAAGTTTTAAAATGTTTACTTATTTTTGAGAGAGAGAGAGAGAGACAGAGATGGGGAGAGAGAAAGAGAGATACAGAATATGAAGCAGGCTCCAGGCTCCAAGCTGTCAGCCCAGAGCCCAACACGGGGCTCGAACCCACAAGCAGTGATATCATGGTCTGAGCTGAATTCAGATGCTCAATCGACTAAACCACCCAGGTGCCCCTCTTACATGACTTTTAATGAATAATGTATATTAAAATTTGTTTAATTTAGCAATTTCCTCTTAGAATAACTAACAGCCTGCATTTAAAAGCCCAAATTTGACAAGAGCACACTGTATACACTGTATGTTAGCTAACTTGACAATAAATTCTATTTAAAAAAAAAGAAAGAGAAAAAAAAAAATAAAAGCCCAAATTTGAAAAGCAGGTGTCTTAGCATAGAAGATCATATGAAATTTAAACTAAGAAAGTAAAAAATAACTGAAGATATTGCAGAGTCCCAACCCTGATTTAGGGATATAGAAGGACCAATACTGTTATTTTCAGAAATGTAATAAAATTAATTTTTTTTCAAAAAGAAAAATTTCTTTTCATTGAAAAAGAATATATATGTCCAATAGCCCTTTCAGGAGGAGGTAAGAAAGTCTTCTAAATTTTACTTACTCAAAATTTATCAAGGAAAATTCTTGTGCTGTCTTTCACCAAGTCTAAGATGCATGTTAACATCTCTGAAATCAGGAGGTATCTTACAATGTATGGCATCTTTGAGTTAATGAAATGCGGTGCTATTCTAATGTACTGTCAAAACCCAGATTTTGGCTGCAATAGGTTTTAGCTGTCCAAAATCAATAATTGGGCAGGGTTTTATCAGACTAGAAATTAGACAGAACCTTTTTTGGACAGTGGGGTGGATGTTGTTATTATAAACAGAAGTTTTTCTTTCTCTGGCAGCAAATATACAAGAGGCGTGGAGGCAAGATAGCCTTAAAACTGCTGCAATTTTTTTCATCTGGTTTTTGGTAAAGGGAGACTAGCTAAAACAGGAATGTTGTTATAATTCTCTTCCTTTCCAAATGTATGTGATTCATTGTGAACAAAAGAGAATCAGGTTTCAGATTAAATTCCTGGTCTCTGGGCCTGCTTCTAAGTTTATAAGCAGCAGCAAGAACTGTTAACCCAATTTAATGGCACTTCCTGGCTATAAGGTTAAATTTTTACAAGAGTATGGCTGCCTCCTTTTGAAGACTAATCTTAAACAATCACATTATTTACTATGCTAGGGGTTTACTTTATGTTCACGCAATCACCTGCCAGCCATAAAATAAACTCCCAAGCAATCAGGACAGGCTCCTTATGGGACTCCTACCCAAGGACTACAGTTCAAGTTCAGTGTGAAGGTAGGGGAGAAGAGGGGGGAAGAGAGGGAGAGAATAAAACCTGTCAAACTTAACACCCTTTAATGAGGAAAGCCCACACCAGACAGAGGAATCTAAATTCAGTAAGACAGAAAACTATGTCTTATTATAATTCATAAATTAAAAAGCCACAAGAACACATATACTGATACAGTGACAGACATTTCCAAAGAACTTCCTCAGCACACTTCTTGCCCCCAACTCCAATCTCCACCCTTAACCCTCTGATGCTCTGTGCCCTTGACGGATTCACAGCTACCGCTGCAGGAAGTGACAGAGAAATTACTCTTATTGTTCCTATCTGACAAATAAGGAAACCGAGCCTCAGAGATGTCATTTTTTATACTTTCCCCAAAGCAACACGAGAACTTCAGTTCTAGCTAGCCTGGGTCTCTCTGGTTCCTTTTCTCTCTAGTTCCTGTGAGTTTTAACACTGCTGAGGATACAGGAATATTAGAGAAGTGGCAATGTTCCCCCACAGCCTCGGGCGGGTATCCACATTGGGATGTTCCTCCAGGAATGGGGGCAGATCTATAGAAAGCCATCCACAGGGCCTGGCCAGGTTCCCCGGAGACTCCAGAGCTGTCTGTGTGGGATGATGGAGAGAAATCGTGTTCTCACAGCTGACACAGCCTCCAGGAGCTGCTGTCATACTTGACACAGAGCAGCCACAGCCTGGGGCAGCGACTGTCTCCACCGCTTGAAGCAAACCTTCTGAAACTGGTCGCTAATTTAAGACAATTCAGCAACAGTCCTAAGAAAAACCTGGGCTGGCCATCACAGAGCACCTTCCAGGGAACACGACAGGAAAATGAGACAACTGGCTGCCTTCCAGGGACAGTCCCATTCTCTCCTGGCATCCTCAGATTTGCCTAGTGCACAATCTGGCTCTCTCTCACAGGTTATCATATCCGATCCTTCTAAAGGAGTGTTATAAAAGTGTCTGTTAAAGTGCTTTAAAGTGCTTTAAAGCAGGTTATCATTTCACCTGTAAATTAGCTTATCTTACTTCCCAAAGGCTTGCCGCCTCAGAGCTGGGCAATTCAGGAACCCCATGCGTGTGGGACTGGGTGGTGTTTTGGAAGCATCCAGAGTAGTGGACTTGCTGGCTGCACAGGCTGAGACAGCCTCAGGAACAAGGATTCCCTCCCTGCCTACCAGTTCCAGTTGAAGGTAATCTACTTTTCTGAACACTGCAGGACACGGAGGCAGGACCCGGACAGAAGTCAGGGCCTGTCTCAGCAGATGCAGCCAGCGTACTGTGGAGCTCAGGGGCTTTCCCATGAAAGGTGCACTCAAAAGTTAAGCCAGCCCTGGTGAACAAGGGGCTCACCTCGTGCCACCCCGAGGACTTCCCACCAGGATGTGAAGTGGCCCTGCTAGGGGAACAGGCTCCCCACAGACTGCCAGGGTGGCCCGGGGGGGGGGGGGGGGGGGGGGAGAGAGAGAGAGAGAGAGAGAGATCCCATGCACAGGGGAGAGGCAAAGACAGAGGGAGACAAAGAGAATCCCAAGCAGGCTCAGCGCTATCCGCGCAGAGCCCAACATGGGGCTCGAACTCACGAACCATGAGATCATGACCTGAGGCCAAATCAAGTGTCAGGATGCTTAATCAAGGCGCCCCCCACCCCTCTACAATTCTTGTACTTTTATCTACTACCAACTACTACAAAATCTGCCTCCCCTGTTCTTTAAAGAGAAGAAATAGCTTTTCGTTTTTAGTTGTGGTAAAATACACGTAACATTCACCATCTTAACCATTTTTTTTTTCAAGTAATCTCTACACCCAACATGGGACTCAAACTCACAACCCCGAGATTAAGAGTTGCAGGCTCTACTGAATGAACCAGCCTGGAGGCCCCCATCTTAACCATTTTTAAACGGTCAGTATCATCAACTGCCTTCACACTGTTGTGCACCCATCACCACCACATCCACAGAACTCTTCCCATCTTGCAAAATTGCAACTCTGTACCCATTAAATCATAACTCCCCATTTCCTCCTTCCTTCAGCCTCTGGCAACCACCCTTCTACTTGATGTCTCTATAAACTGGACCATTCTGGGTACTTTACATTAAGTAGAATCATACAGCATTTGTCCTTTTGTGAATGGTTAATTTCACTTAACATAATATCTTCAAGGTGGAAGAAGAAATTTTTAAGCCACTTTTGTTTCAATATGTCCAAGAGGGCTTCCTTGACTACTTGAAGTACCACTAAATGGTGTTTATTTCAATGCCATGTCAAATTCTGAAAAGCAAAATTTTAAAAATCTTCCTGTATCCTCTACAGATGTAGCTTTTGGTTTCTGAGGTTTTTTTATGTGTACTTTTCCAGCCCAGGTTTGGGGAAAAATATAAAAACCTAGGTTTTTTTTTTTTTCTTCTTCTTTCAAATGTATTTCAAATACTCATCTAGTTCTGTAGTTCTGGATTGAGGATGTCCCAGAATTCTAGAACTTACTGGGATCATAACAAAAATTGAGAAATAACTGATAACCTGAATGAGTGTGAGAGAATAAGATATTTCTTCTCAGAAACTTAGAAAAAGCAATCTTCCTTCCATCCTCTCTTCCTCTTTCTCTTTTTCTAGTAAGTGATTTCAGTTATTTCTTACATAGTATTATTAATTAATGTTAATTGTAAAGATTAATTCAGGGGCACCTGGGTGAATCGGTCAGGTTAAGCGTCCGACTTCAGCTCAAGTCATGATCTCACGGTTCATGAGTTCAAGCCCCGCATGGGGCTCTGTGCTGACAGCTCAGAGCCTGAAGCATGCTTCGGATTCTGTGTCTCCCTCTTTCTCTGTCCCTCCCTCCCTCCCTCTCTCTTACAAATAAACATAAAAAAATTTTTTTTAAATGTAAATATTACTACAGACATCATATTGTGTTCCAACATTTGTATCTTCTTTTCTTTTTTTATTTCACTTTATTGACGTATACTTGACAAATAAAATTGTAAGATATTTAAAGTGTGCATCATGCTTATAATGATATATGTAAACATGGTAGAAGGACTCCCCCATCTATCACCTCCCATATTTATCTCTTTTTTCTCTTCTTTGGAGAAAGGCATTTAAGTTCCACTCTCTTAGCAAATTTCAGTTATACAACACAATGTTATCAACTGTAGTCACTGTATTACATCCTCGGGCTTCATTCATCTTGTGTTTTCTTTGTCAGTCCCAATTCTGATGTATCATATGGACAAATACTCCACTCCCTTTGCATCCTTGGTTCAGTTCTGCCAGCTCAGTTACCTTTAATTTCCTTTGGAAGATACCACTTGGCCAAGACGGTCCCTTCCCTTAAAAGCATTTCATATTCTAGAGGGAGGCAGGTACAGACCCAACTAACCAGTGTGAGTGAGACTGTGAGGGGGCTGGGGAGCCACAGTAACAGATGGACAGGGAACACCTCAGGGAAGAGGTCAGTGAACTCCAAAAAGAAGGTGGAGCTTGAGCTGACACTTGTTATTATTATCTCCAGTAATATATTTTTGTTATTTCTAATTACTTTATTATAGTTTAATTATTACTCTAACATTTGTAGCTTCCTGAAGTTAATTTATAGGTAACAGAGATACAAGGATAGCAATATTTCATAACCTCCTCCTCCACGTACTAAATGTTTTCATTTACTATTTTGAGTGTTGTTCTTCCTAAATCCAGCCATTCCTGAACCCAGCTCTTCCTTATCTTCTAGCAACTTCTTTCTTTGGAGTATAATGGAACTTATTTGTAATGCTTTATGCGCCCTTTGAAGTAGCAGTCAATCACATAATGGCAGGCCACTTCCGTAGGAGGTTATTTCACATATTTCAAGGGGACATTATCTGATCTCTGGCATGTCTGAACCTCCAGAATTATGGCCTGTGTAGTGGCGGGTTGGGATGCCATGTTTCCAGGCTCAGGATGGGTCCCTCTGCCAAGCCTGCTGTTCAGGGTATTGTCCATTCCACACAGACAGGTGGTGACAACTATTACGTTTAACCCTGGGCTCCACTTACTACCAGGTAAATCGGAAGATTTATTATCGGGCCTTGTGGAAACTAAAACTGCTGAGTTGTAATTTCTTTAGAAGAAAATCTAATGGGGGAAGAAAATAGCATGTACTGTAGTCTTTTACTGAAAATTTTAAAAAGTATATATACTTCTAGCCATGTTGGAGATAGCATGAAAAATTGAGAATAATTCTGGATAACCCTCTGTTATATGACAGTATTACCTAATACACTTAAATCCTTCTACCTAACTACTTATCCTATTGAGTACTAAAGAGTTGGAGAGTTATATTATCTTATGACTACACAGTCATGGTGATTTAATTTTTCTTTCTAGCGACTCTCAGCTTAGGACCTACAAGTATTAAAAGTAAAAATACTTGCACACCCATGTTCATAGCAGCACATTCACAAGAGCCAAAAGGTGGAGCAACCCAAATAGCCATCGATGGATGACCAGATAAACAAAACGCGGTATCTACGTACAATGGAATATCATTCAGCCTTAAAATTCTGACACATACTGGAACATGGAGGAGCCTTAAGGACATTATGCAAAGTAAACTGTTACCAAAAGACAAATACCACATGATTCCATTTAAAAACGGTTAAGATGGGGGCACCTGGGTGGCTCAGTCGGTTAAGCGTCGGACTTCAGCTCAGGTCACGATCTCGCGGTCCGCGAGTTCGAGCCCCGCGTCGGGCTCTGGGCTGATGGCTCAGAGCCTGGAGCCTGCTTCCGATTCTGTGTCTCCCTCTCTTTCTGCCCCTCCCCTGTTCATGCTGTGTCTCTCTCTGTCTCAAAAATAAATAAACGTTAAAAAATTTAAAAAAAAAA